GTCTCTCACAGTTGAAGTGTACCTCTGGTGCAAATTACTGACCTCTGTCATCATTTTAAGTGGGGGAACTTGCACAATCGGTGGCTGACTAGATATTTTTTTGCCCCACTGATGGATATTTACAAAGAAAATAAGCAAAGAAAACATGATGTATCTTAGACCATAGTGATCCTGTACAAGTAACTTACCAAAAGTTGCTATAATTTTTGCTGGTTTAAACCACGTTAACCTAACATGAATTATATTTGAGCCAACCCACAAGAGAAATTAGCTTTTCACATTACGCTTCTGTTTCTGCTGGATTAACTCAACAAAAGGAGCTGTTCCTGGGCATAAACCGCTCTTGCAAACCTACATTCTGGCCCTATATGTAAATGTCCGTAGTGCTACACTTCAGTTAGGTCATTCTGGTGCTAATAAGGAGACAATGAGATATTTAACCCTCCTGTAGCGCTGCAGTTTAATGTAAACACTGTTCAAAACAACATGACCATTGTCCTGCTTCAATACAACAACAGCCCAGCTATCTAGGCTATCCATAAAAGGGAAAACATGTAGCTGTGGTGTGGCAAGAAAGCTTATCGAGTGTTACGAAACAAAATTTGGTCTTTACTTGCTCTTAAAACCTGGACCGTGCTACAAGAAGAAATGATCTGGGAATCAGTTTGACTTCTGTGTAAATGATGAATTGTAATGACCAGTACTGGACTTTTGAGGATTGTACTGTAGCAACCGTACTGTATTGTAGGAAAATTTTGAGTCATTGTACTCCAGCGATGGATTCAATAAACCACTCCTGATTGCTGTGACATTGATACATGTCCTACAGACAATGCTGACATCATTGAAACTATGTGACCCTTTATGAATGACTTGAAGCACATTTTTCTCCACAGTGTCATGTGTAGAAATCATATTCATAATCACATACATCTTGGAGCACATTGTAGAACACCAATTTTGGTTAGACTCAAATAAGTGATAAGCCAGAGTAAGACTAAATACAACACAAAAGCACAGCATCTTCACAATTTCTACACCTGGTTAGTACCCTTGTAGCCCGGATGTTGAACCAGAAGATGTTTGCTTCAGGTGGCAATGTAATAATGTATCTTAATGTATGAAAAAGAATAATAATTTTAAGACTATGTGTCAGTTTTTCTCCGTGACAGAAAAAGCTGCTGTTGCAAAGAAATATGTCTGTGTCCTAAATAAAAATATAAATGTGTAAAATTACAGCAAAAAGTTGATAGTAGATATCAACTCTCAACTATTTGATAGTTAATTGGCCAAAACTGTCCGGTATTGATACGGTTTTTATTAATTCATAGAAAATGTCTTGAAAAAGTGTTTAGTTGTTTATCTTGTTGTAATTTGGGTAAAAGTACTTTTGTTACAGTGCCATAAGTACAGGGACAGGGTGAAGCAACAGTTTGACAACCCTCGGAGTATGTGGCAGGGACTAAACACGATCACAGACTTTAGAGGGAAAACCAGCACACCGCAGACCACGGCCTCTCTGTGTGAGGATCTAAACGTATTCTACGCTAGATTCGACACAGCGAACACCATGAGACCGGACAGTGTGCGCACCGCGGATGACGTCAGTGCGCACACTGTGTCTGAGGAGGATGTGCGGAGGTGCTTCAGGAAGGTGAACGCACGCAAAGCTACTGGTCCGGACGGGATTCCCGGCCGCGTCCTCAAGTCATGCGCGGCTCAGCTGGCTGGAGTGTTCACGCACATCTTCAACCTTTCCCTCTCTCTGTCTGTAGTCCCAGCCTGCTTCAAAATGGCCACCATCGTCCCTGTACCCAAATCCTCCACCATCTCCTCATTGAACGACTGGCGACCTGTAGCCCTGACCCCCATCGTAAGCAAATGCTTCGAGAAGCTGGTCAGGGACTTCATCTGCTCTGCACTACCCGACTCACTGGACCCTCTACAGTTCGCATACCGCCACAACAGGTCCACTGATGATGCCATAGCCCTGACACTACACACTGCCCTGTCACACCTGGAGAAGAGAGACACGTATGTGAGAATGCTGTTTGTAGATTACAGCTCAGCATTCAATACCATCGTTCCCTCGAAGCTGGACAGGAAACTGCAGGATCTAGGACTGAGCAGCTCCCTCTGCAGCTGGATCCTTAGCTTCCTGTCTGACAGACGCCAAGTGGTCAGACTGGGCAGCATCACCTCATCCCCCATCACACTGAACACTGGTGCTCCACAGGGGTGTGTACTGAGCCCTCTCCTGTACTCACTCTACACCTACGACTGCACGGCCACTAACAACTCCAACATCATTGTGAAGTTTGCGGACGACACTACAGTGGTGGGTCTTATCACCAACAGTGATGAGACAGCTTACAGGGAGGAGGTCAGCGCCCTGACCCACTGGTGTCAAGACAACCATCTCACCCTCAACGTCGCAAAGACAAAGGAGTTGATAGTGGACTTCCGGAGGTGCAGAGAAGTAAAATGGTAAATGGCTAAATGGCCTGTATTTATATAGCGCTTTACTAGTCCCTAAGGACCCCAAAGCGCTTTACATATCCAGTCATCCACCCATTCACACACACATTCACACACTGGTGATGGCAAGCTACATTGTAGCCACAGCCACCCTGGGGCGCACTGACAGAGGCGAGGCTGCCGGACACTGGCGCCACCGGGCCCTCTGACCACCACCAGTAGGCAACGGGTGAAGTGTCTTGCCCAAGGACACAACGACCGAGACTGTCCAAGCCGGGGCTCGAACCGGCAACCTTCCGATTACAAGGCGAACTCCCAACTCTTGAGCCACGATTGCCACGTACACACCCCCATCACCATCAACGGCGCTGCTGTGGAGAGAGTGAGCAGCTTCCGGTTCCTTGGTGTACATCTGGCTGAGGATCTTACGTGGTCAGTACACACAAACAAAACAGTGAAGAAGGCGCAGCAGCGCCTCTTCTTTCTCAGGAGACTGAAAAGATTCGGCATGAGCCCCCGCATCCTCAGGACCTTCTATCACTGTGCCATTGAGAGCATCCTCACTGGATGCATCACCACCTGGTATGGCAACAGCACCGCCTACAACTGCAAAGCTCTCCAGCGAGTAGTGCGGTGCTCTGAACGGATAATTGGAGGTGAGCTTCCCTCCCTCCAAGACATCTACAGGAAGCGGTGCCTGAGGAAAGCGGGGAGGATCATCAAGGACTCCAGTCACCCCAGCCATAAACTGTTCAGACTACTTCCATCAGGAAGGAGGTTCTGCAGCATCCGGTCCCGTACCAGCAGACTGAGAGACAGCTTCTTCCACCAGGCCATCAGACTGCTGAACACGTCATAGACACCTCAGCTTCACTACTGGAACTTTAACATTATGCACTCCATACTGTACAGTAACTGCCACTGTTTTGCACATGTCTCAACTCTGTATATTTATTTTATATATTTTATTTATTGTTTACTCTATTTAATTTGTAAAATATGTGTAACACACACACACACACACACGTAGAAAAATATTTAGTATACACATCCAGAAATGCATATACTATTATATATTGTACATATATTTATTAGTTTCAGATGTAGCCATTCTTGTATTTCGCTTGTTTACATTATTGTATTTTGCACAACTCTGTTGCTTATGAAGCTCACACACAAGAATTTCACTCACATGTGCTGTACCAATGTACCTGCACATGTGATGTGACAGTAAAAGTGATTTGATTTGATTTGATTTGATTTGATTTGATTTGATTTGATTTGATTTTGATTTTGATTTTGATTTGATTTGATAAACCGGTAGCTTTATGGTTTGGTTTTGACATAAAACACTAACAAACCAATATTGGAAAACTAATGATTGAGTTTAGGTTAGTGTAAATGTTAGAGATTCAAGATTCAAGAAGTTTATTGTCATATACACCACAAAATACATTGGTTACACTGAGCAATGAAATTCGTACTGTGCGAGTTACCTTCACACAATTATAAAAAAAAACCAACTGAAGTTCATTGCTAAGAAGTTTTTCCGTCTCCTGACTGACTTGATAGCACGAGTTTAAGCAGTCCTCCTGCACGTCTTTACTCCCACAGGCCTCAGCTGCGACTCGAGAAAGAGTATGGAGAAGTTAGCACCACCTCCCTGTGCAGTGCCGCCTCCTATCCTGAAATTCTCCATGGGTCAGACATCTGTAAGCATTTCTCTCAGACCACAAGAGGAAAATAGAAAGTTGGAAGCTACAGGCTGTGATTTGGGTGTGTATAAATAAAGTTGCTAGCAAAGGAAAAGCTGCTAATATGATGAGAGTCCAGAAGGTGGGAGGTTAGTAGGAGCAGGACACCCAAATCATCAAAGAGTGGAAATGAGTTGCAGGAGGGCAAACAGAGCCACTGAAGAATTTTATGAAAGGCTCATGAGGTATTCGTGGGTGTATATTTTACATATGTAAGTACAAGTTTGATTCATTGCATGTGTGGCTAAAAAAAAAAACATACATGGAGCGTACATTTCTAAATGATTTCTCTTTTTATTGGTTGCACATGGTAACCAGGGCTTAGCTGAACATGAAAACACTTGGAAGGGTAAGTCATTTTGGGACGGCTGTTGCAAACGCATGTCATTATAGTCAGGGCTTGATCAGGTGATCCTTAGTTACTGTGCAATAGGCCTAGGCTGCTGAGGGGTGTGTTTAATGTGCTTATACACCACAATCATTTAATCATTAGTTGTTATTAATCTCTGGTTCTCTGCCACAGTGTGTCTTTTATCCTGTCTCCTTCCCCTAACCCCCAGCTGGTCACTGCAGATGGCTGCCCCTCCCTGAGCCAGCGTTTGCTGGAGGTTTCTTCCTATTAAAAGGTATTTTTCTTTCCCACTGTCGTCAAGTGCTTGGTCATAGGTCATTTGATTCTTGGGGCGTTATCTTTGTTTTTCTATGGTCTTTACCTAATAATATAAGGCATCCTAAGGTGACCAATGTTGTGATTTGATGCTATGTAAATAAAATGTAATTGAACCATATGGTATACTGCTCTATCTGTATCTACAATCTTCACTCCTTAAAATATAAGCAACGCTAGAACAAATTAAAGAATGTTGTCAGATATATTACCAATTATTAGAACAAGTAATAATTTGTTTAAAACTGGTGTTTTAAGGCTGTTCTAATGAGTCCATCTGCAGTAGACGAGTAAACTAACAAAAACATGTTGACTCTGAAGTCTCAGAGTGCTAAACAGGGAGCAACACCCATTCAGTCTGTAATAATGCCTGAGCAAAGAGCAGATTGAGTGGAAATGAGCCATGTTGCCCCTTCACTGCAGGCCTCCACATTGGTGCTGACTCCTCTGTAGTGGTCGGCACTGCCTCAAAACTGCAGGGCACATTTGTGCAGCTTCCAGAAATAGGACGTGCTGTATATAATTGGCAAAACAGCAGGCTCACAGCTGCTATGAAAACAACCATGCTTTTCCCGTTGCCTTAGAACCACCCTACAGGCTTACATATGAGGCCCAAAATGATACCTTTAAAGCTGGGTGTAGGTGCAAAACCGCAATTTAATGGAGCGCCTCTTTGCCTTTATGTTCCTGAAAGACCTGAAAAGCATTTGTAGATCTTTGATGAATTGAGCAAAAGTTTTTTTAAACAAAAGAATAAAAGTTTTGTGCTAACAGTGTTAACAGTAACTGGTTTATTTAACTCATTTATAAGACAGCAAGAGAAATTCAAAATACTTATAAAATCACAGGAATAGTGATAAAAAATAAATGTGTGTCGTGACTAATAACATTTAAAGCCTGCTGAGAGATAAAATATACTTGACTGTCAATGCAAGATGAATGTTGATTGTCCTTTTGTGAAGTGGTTTCTCATCCTTGTGGTATTCAGACATCAGCTCCACAGCCCCCTGTTCTCTCTGCTATTCCTCTCTCTCCCTCTCTCTCTCTTTCTCTAACCTGACAAAAGATCATTCAAATTCACTCATAAATACAATAAATAACAAAAACGATGCAGAGTAGCTGCTTGCTCAGTCTCTCAACTTGATTCAGCTCCCAGTCTCAATACAATACTAATACTTATTCAGTCTTTGGTCAGCTTCACATCTCTACTGACCAATCCTAGTAAGGCTGACATTAAAATGGGGAGATTTTAATATTAGTGTTTCAGATCCCATGTGCAAAATTTCTGTTATGCTTTTTCTTAATGTGTTTGTTCTTAATTTTTATTTTTTGTAAGTTTAAGTTTACTTTTACGCATTTTTGAGACCATCTCATAATGCACTGACATGATTTCCTTTGAGTTAAAATGGTATTTTAGCGCTGATTAGGGGGTAGAGAGGCCAGCCCAAGTCCAGACTCCCATTTAGGTTAGGAGTGTAATAAATTCTCATGTCAGCCTTCATATTCTTGATTTAAATCAAATGCCTTCTTCACATATCACTCTTATCTCTTGCCTTCATCTACCAGCTGAAAAGTTTCAGGAAGTTTTGGAGTCCATCTTCTCCAAGGAAGTCGAAAGAGCCCTGAGACGAGCCCAAGTGGACGAGCAGGAGGACAAGCAGGACGATGGCCAGGAGTGGAATGAGAAGGTTCCAGCCGGCTGCCAGGATGTTGTACCATTTGGCCTTGTCCGAACACTCCTGAGCCAGCTGCAGGTTGCCCTGAGTCTTTTGGTCCCTGGCCTGCAAAGATGCAGGAAAACAAATTCATATTAAGACATCTGGTGTAGTCAGTTTTAACTGGTAATTTAAATATGAAGACTCCTCAGCATCAACGAAACTTTGTGCTGAAAGTCTGGGTAAATTACCAGATGATTAAACATGCAACTATTTTGCTGGTAATAACTGAAATGAGTAAAGAAAATGAACAGCCTATTTATATATTGGTTGGGTCGGATTATTGGGGGGGGGTCATAACCCCCCTAACCCCCCCTTAATTACGCCCCTGCTCCTCAGTCTCATAAGTCTTGTGGGACATCTAGAGACATTAAAGCTTCAGCTGCTCTACATAAAAAAGATAATATGAGTTCACTGTAAATAAAGAAGGTAAAACACAGATCATCTTTTTGCTTATAGACAGCTTGTCCCACAGATCTGGTTCAGTGCTGAACCAGGGCAGACTGAATAGCTTCTAAGTGTATCCAGTTATTGTGGAAAGAACCCAGCCAGGGCCTTCCATACAACTCTCTAATTTCCCATGAGTACTTGCCCATTAGAAAGATACCAATTATGCCATTTTTAACTCTCCAGACAAGGAACCAGTGACTGTCTTTAATCTGAGTGCTGAGCCAGTGGCCCTGTGATTCTGAGCTGCACCGCGTGCATGCAGAAAAAAAATTAAATAAAGGGTATACACACCCTTTTGTGGTGAGATTTTCGGGAACTTTTATTTCCAGGTAGTCATGCAGTGTTTCCAAACAAGATTTGAAAATGCAATTTTCCCAGACTTCTTAACTTTTTAAAATGTGTTAAGTTTTTTGTTTTGTTTTATGTTTCTCTGCAGCTCCATTCCTGTGGTAAAGGGCGCTCCTGCTTTCTACTGTGTGAGACATTCGACCAGAGACAATAATAAGTCTTTACATGCTTCAGAATCTTACTGTGTTTAATCAAATTCAAAGAATTTTGCAACAGAACTTTTACACAGAGGAAAAGCTAGAAGTTGTTCTGCTTTTTACACATAAAAAATCTGTAAAAAATAAAGTAAAATGTACAACTTTTAAATTAAGAATGCTTCCATATTCATTTTATAAGAATTTTTTTTAACACCTTAAAAATCATAGGGTATGCAGGGTTTTTTCCCCTCTTTTTACAGTTTATACCCTCACTTACACATGGTTAAAAGAAAACAATTTTCTTCTTTTTGTCAAAAATGTAATTGCTGGTTCCCGCTGCTTCTTTTAGAAATGTTATTGTAGGTGCAGCCACTCATTGGTGCTTGACTTTTGCCCATTGTTTCATAAGTATCCTTGCCAACTTTGCACAACTTTTGCTTTTGCTGCCAAGTTTCATTGCAGAAGGCTGAGGCAATTATAGTAACACAATTTTCTTGTTAGCATTAAGCTGTTCAAGACTGACAAAAGTCTAGTGTTACACTGCATAGAAATTCTTCCATTTTTTTTCATCAAGTGTATCCAAGTGTTTCTGCCTTTGTTGTTTTCTAAATGTTTTAATAAAGAGTTTAAATAACTGGAGACAACAATGAAGGCTACTTTATTTAAAAAAAATACATTAATAGAAAGATTTGTTTTAATTGGGACTGAGTTAACAATGTAGACCCTTCTTTGTTAGATGTCTGTAAATTGATTGTAAAACATTTTCAAAAGCAAAGAAAGAAAAAGAGCACAAGGCCTCACCTTGATGGAGTAGATGAGCGCCATGAAACCCAGGCAGCAGAAGTTAACATACAAGGTGTTGCACAGCGACCAGACTAGATAGTCTCGGGGAGGATTCTTGCCAGTGTTCCCCATGTTCACTACAGTGGATCCAACTGGCTTGCGGGCAGATTTGCAGTTGGTAAGAGGGGTGCAGTCGGAAGGGAAGTTGTAGGAATGGTTGTCCATTGTTAGCCTTCAGAGAGGGGAATCCTAGCTGTAAGTGGATAGACAACTTTGTGAGCTTGTTATCCTTCCAGATGCTTGGTCCTCGTCTTGAGAGTAGTCCCCCCCCCTCTATGCGAGAGGCTTAAAAAGGCCCATAAAGAGGGAGGTGGCAGGGAGAGCATGCATGGGCAGGGTCCTTTAATGCACTGCAGGTCTGTCATTATGTGGTCAAGCCTGTGAGACTGAAATAGAGATAGAGAGAAGAAGACAGGGAAACAGTTCTCTGAGAGAAAGACCAAATATATAAACTGTAGCTGAGAAAAGTATCCAAACAATAATTTTCCTAGAGATTTGAAGGTGGTGCGTGGTGATTTGGGTGAAGGTGAAGGCCATTTGAATGATGTTGAAAAGCCTTGATATGTCTGATGAAGAGTCTGCCAGAGGTCTTGAGGCAGGCATCTGTATCTTGGTGGGAACAGAGTGGGTTAACACAACCAACAGGACACATTTCTAAAACATATAAGAACTATTAGTTCAGTTCATTTCATTTGGTTTTCATGTGAACGGTCACAGTTTCTTACATAAAATAAAGTAAATTACCCAACCTGAACATTATTTTTGTTCCGCATGAGGACCTGGAGAAGCTTATTCACGCTTTTGTGACCTCCAGGTTGGATTATTGTAACTCCTTGTACTACGGTCTTCCCTCTTCTCTTCTTCTTAGACTGCAAACAGTCCAAAATGCAGCAGCCCGCCACTTGACTGGTACGAGGAAATTTTGCCCTATTACTCCTGTTTTAGCTAGCTTGCATTGGCTGCCCATAAAGTACCGTATTCAATTTAAAATATTACTCCTTACATTCAAAACTATTAGTAAATTAGCGCCGAGTTATCTTAGTGAACTTCTCAAACCACATACTCCTGCTAGAACACTCAGATCTGCCACTCAACTACTTCTGATGCAACCTAGATCTCGGCTGAAGTCCCGGGGTGACCGTGCGTTTGCTCTGGCTCGACATCCGCGCATCTGATTTATTGTTATGATAATAATAAACGTTTCTTTGCGTTAATAATACAATAGGAAATCAAACATCACTTTGTACTGTCTATTCCCACAGTATCATCAAAGATGCACAGAATAATTATTAGTGGATGAGGGTTCAGCTACACATGAAGAATTTCAGACATTGAATCAAAGATGTCGGCCCAATATTTTTTAACCTCGGGACAAAAAACAAAACTGTGGCTTATGTATCTTCAGCTACGGAGCATTTCTCACATATAGGAGAGACCTCAGGGTATATTTTATTTAACCTTTCTCTAGTAAAGTGTAGATGAAGCTTTAAACCGAATCAAGCAGTGTTTTGCATTATAGGAGCATTTATGGATATTCTGCAAACCTTTTTCCCATTGAGTGTCTGTGATTATGATACCTAATTCTTCTTCCCATTTAGATTTGATAAAGGATGAGCTTGCAGGGTTTACTAACATTAAATTCTGAAAGGTGCAAGAGATAAATTTCTCACTACAAGGTGAAAGTTGGAGACACTTATCAAGACCGGAAATGTTGAGACTCTCAAAGACCTGTACATATTTCCTGACAGAGTCTGGCAGGTATCTAAAAAAGTCTCTTCCTTATAGCTTGTATATCTCTTGTAACTGCTTGAAAGAGGCACTGTCCCAATATAGATGACTGATTGAGCAAAGTCCTACCTGTTTTAATGCATTGTGTATAGATGGTTTAAAAGATGGATTGCCTACAATGGGTGTAATAGGGGATGGAGACTTCAAATTAAAACATAGTTTAATCTGCTTAAAAATACATAGGGTGCTATGTATTACCACATTGCCGTCATATATAGCTATACTTATCAATGGGCAGTATAGCTATATAGTAAAGCTGACAAGCTTCCTGCTCCAGTTGCGACCATGTGAGGGGATTGCCATTGTCTGCTAACCAGTATGTCATAAATTTTATATGTAAGGCCAGTAATAGAACAAGAAATTCAGAAGCGCTAACCCTCCTTCCGTTTTAGACTTGCAAAGCTGTTTCCTAGCAATTCTATGTGTTTTATTGCCCCATAAAAAAGGTAAGAGGAGTGAATTCAGGTTTTTAAAAAATGTTTTAGGAAGGAATACAGAGAGATGTTGAAATAAGTACAACCACAATCAAAATGATCATTTTTATAGGATTAACTCTACCAATGAGTGATATAGGAAGTGAATTGTACACTTGACTGAAGCTCAGATATTAAGGGAGAGAAGTTAGATTTTAATAGAGAGGAATAGCATTTTGTAACCTGAATACCCAGATAAGTGAGCTTCTCATAAGCTATACTGAATGGGAGGTTTTGCAGCCACGATGGGTTACTCACATGTATAGGCATTAGTTCACTTTTATTCAGATTTATCCTGTATACAGAGAAAGACCCAAATAACTTTATTTTGTCTAATATGACAGGAATAGTCTTTCCTGGCTGGGTGATATTTAATAACACATCATTCGCATAGAGTGAGATTTTATTAGTAGTTGTATCAGTATTTTTTTTTAAAATAGATCCCTGTTTTGTCACTCTATATACGCCAAAGGATAGTGATAGATTCTGGTTGGTAAGAATGTGAGCATGAAGATTACCATAAAGCAAACTTACCACTGAAATAAATTTCTTGCCCAATTTAAATCTTTCCAATATTTCGAAAAAATAGGGCCATTCAATCTGGTCAAATGCCTTCTCAGCGTTGAGTGCCAAAACTGCCAACTCTTCTTTGGGTCTGGCAGTGGAGTAAATAATGTTGAATAGTCACCTGAGATTAAAAAAAAGAATTTCTCTGGGGTATAAATCCAGTTTTATCAGGGTATACTAACTGTGTTAAAAGGGGCTTAATTTACTGGCAAATACTTTAGACAATAGTTTCCCATCCAGATTTAGCAAGGTGATGGGACGATAAGAACCTACATTCTCAGCATTCCTACCTTTTTTATAAATAACAGTTATAATTGCCTCTGTAAGGGTGGGAGGGAGGACTTTATCTGCTAGAGCTTGAGTGAATGTTTTATGCAGGTATGGGCACAAAATCTCACTAAGTTTCTTATACAATTTGCTGGGGATGCCATCTGGTCCAAGAGCCTTATTGGTTTTACTTGAGGCAATTACCCTCTTGATCCCCTCTATTGTTATTTCTGAGTTTAAGCATGTGAGTTCATCCTCCCCTAGGTTTGGAAAAAAGATGGCGCCGAGTATGGCAGCCTCGTTGCGAGCTCCCCCAAGCAACAGCTTTTTTCTGTGTTTAATTTTACTTTTCCTTCATTTTTTCGCGAGTAGCACATGTCTCCTTGTGTACGACCGACAAACCTTACTGGACATAAAAGACGGTCTTTCTTATAACTTTCCGGAGTTCAAGTTTTGCAACACGGACGCTCCGTTTGCAGACCCCCCATTCATCTCACCTGAGACGCCTTTGTTCTCTGGCCCTGGAGGCCGCAAACGCCGACGCAGAGGGAGAAGATCTGGCGTTCTGGTTCGACTGAGACGGCGCACTAACAGACCACCGTTACCCAGTTTATTACTGGCTAATGTGCAGTCTCTGGAGAACAAGCTGTGCGAGCTTCGGGCACGGATCTCATTCCAGCGAGAGATGCGGGACTGCTGCGTGATCTGCCTCACAGAAACCTGGCTATCGGACAAGGTACCGGACTCCGCATCGCGCGGACAGGTCACAGGATCTTACTGGGAAAAGCAGAGGCGGTGGTGTGTGTTTCATGATCAACAACAGCTGTGTGATTATGCGAACGTGCACCCGGTCAAATCCTTCTGCTCACTGGACCTGGAGTACCTGATGATTAAGTGCCGGCCATTCTGGCTACCGAGGGAATTTACAGCAGTGATTATTACGGGCACTGCCTTTGCCTCCGCGAACACATCGGACTACAAACACGCACATTACCAACTCCGGAAGACGATCAAAGCAGCCAAATGTGAGTACAGGGACAGGGTGGAGCAACAGTTTGACAACCCTCGGAGTATGTGGCAGGGACTAAACACGATCACAGACTTTAGAGGGAAAACCAGCACACCGCAGACCACGGCCTCTCTGTGTGAGGATCTAAACGTATTCTACGCTAGATTCGACACAGCGAACACCATGAGACCGGACAGTGTGCGCACCGCGGATGACGTCAGTGCGCACACTGTGTCTGAGGAGGATGTGCGGAAGTGCTTCAGGAAGGTGAACGCACGCAAAGCTACTGGTCCCTGTACCCAAATCCTCCACCATCTCCTCATTGAACGACTGGCGACCTGTAGCCCTGACCCCCATCGTAGCAAATGCTTCGAGAAGCTGGTCAGGGACTTCATCTGCTCTGCACTACCCGACTCACTGGACCCTCTACAGTTCGCATACCGCCACAACAGGTCCACTGATGATGCCATAGCCCTGACACTACACACTGCCCTGTCACACCTGGAGAAGAGAGACACGTATGTGAGAATGCTGTTTGTAGATTACAGCTCAGCATTCAATACCATCGTTCCCTCGAAGCTGGACAGGAAACTGCAGGATCTAGGACTGAGCAGCTCCCTCTGCAGCTGGATCCTTAGCTTCCTGTCTGACAGACGCCAAGTGGTCAGACTGGGCAGCATCACCTCATCCCCCATCACACTGAACACTGGTGCTCCACAGGGGTGTGTACTGAGCCCTCTCCTGTACTCACTCTACACCTACGACTGCACAGCCACTAACAACTCCAACATCATTGTGAAGTTTGCGGACGACACTACAGTGGTGGGTCTTATCACCAACTGGTGATGAGACGGCTTACAGGGAGGAGGTCAGCGCCCTGACCCACTGGTGTCAAGACAACCATCTCACCCTCAACGTCGCAAAGACAAAGGAGTTGATAGTGGACTTCCGGAGGTGCAGAGAAGTACACACCCCCATCACCATCAACGGCGCTGCTGTGGAGAGAGTGAGCAGCTTCCGGTTCCTTGGTGTACATCTGGCTGAGGATCTTACGTGGTCAGTACACACAAACAAAACAGTGAAGAAGGCGCAGCAGCGCCTCTTCTTTCTCAGGAGACTGAAAAGATTCGGCATGAGCCCCCGCATCCTCAGGACCTTCTATCACTGTGCCATTGAGAG